ACACACACACACACACACACACACACACACACACACACACACACACAAAACATCAAATCAAAACAAGAAAAACACAGTTTGGAAATTTAACAGTAAATGAAAAAACATTCCTACATTTTCTGTGCCCAAGAAAGCAAAATCTGGTATTTAGTTGTTTGTGCTGTGACAGTATTTTGTATCACAATACAAATGATCTCCTTCTGTCCAGTAATACAAATGAGGAATTTGTTTTATCGGTGTTTGTGATGAAAAGAGTTTCCAACACGTATTGCTTGAGACTCGACAGTACGCGACGGCTCCTGTAAACGTACCAGTTGGTGTACAGACTGGTGATGGTGGGCTCCCCGTGGCTGTCCAGGTGCTGCGTCTGCTGCAGGAGGACGTTGTTGAACACCCGGGTGATGTCGATGGTGACGTAGTTCTCTATGGACTGAAGCACCGTCATGTAGGCCCGCACGCTGGTCAGCAGCTCGCTGGGCTTGGCTATCTCCTGGGTAGCCTGGTTGTACATAGTCATCCCCACTATGGACCTGGAGACGGACGTTACGATGGACGTTTAGTAAAAGCACATTTAAAGCCTCACAAACTGCAGCGCTGACATGCTGCAGAGGATAAACTCTATTTAAATGCACAGTGAGACTCTGTTGACATAAGCAAGTAAAACTAAACTCTTCTTCTTTGGTGTTGTGAATCTTTTGCAGATGCTCTCTTGTATTTCCCTTTTAATCACCGACACCAAACTTACTGCCGTTTGTAGTGATGATGATCTAGAAATTGTTGCTTTTTCTATTCATCGAAGGCCAAATGTCTAGAAGTTAATTAACTTAAAAGGTAGATAAAAAAGCTCAGCAACTAGGGCTCTTAGTCTAAGTTTCTTATTGACTAAAGGGATCTTTGTGTCTGAATGGGACAGAAATAAGCTCCGACGGTAACTCTGCGTGTTTGATCTGCGTGTGTTTGAGCTTACTTGGTGAATCGGATCTCCAGGTGCGAGGTGAGGTACTCTCTCGGTGTGAACGTGTGCTCCCAGACCGCCAGGTTGGGAACATAGTTGATGGAGAAGCAGAGTTCAGAAAGTGCTGTGTGGAGTTTATCCAGACTGTGGAGGGGGGAAGAAAGAAGGTCAAGATTAACTCAGTAAAATACGATAATCTGTGTCTTTACAGCAACAAATAGGCATATAATGCATCAAAGAGGAGAAAGTTTGCGTATTGGGACTAACTTGGTGACCAGTAGTCTGTTCTTCCTCATGCTCTCCACACCCGGTTTCTCTCTCTCCGGCTCGCCCTTCTTCCCCGTCGCCTTCTTGCTCTTCTTGTTCACCGCCTGGCTGATGGTTTTCGCACAGTGCTTGGGAAGCAGCTAGAGATGGAAGAGTAGAAGAACATTAGCCAGACGGTGGAGAGAGAGAGAAAGAAAAGAAGACGGGAACGGATAAACAAGAGATCGAGGGAAGGGAAGACAGATGGAGAAAGACCGATCATTCACGGCCTGGCTGATGTTCTTAGTAAGAAGTGGAGCTAGCAGACTGATAGAGATCAATTTAAGAGGCTTTTAACTACAAGCATCAACAAAGGCCTCAACACATTAATGTGACAGCATGTAATATTATGCAAATGGACAGTTGTTTCTGCCAAATCTTGTGACATTAGAAAGTTTGTTAGCATAAGAAAACTTTTAAGGACTTTGTGAGTGCATTGGCACTTTAAGACACCTTTGAGTTTGCTCTTCTTTGTGATAATCGGTACAAACGCGGAGAGTTAGATGATAAGATCGATACAACCGAGAGGCATCGATCTCCTCATCCAGCTCCCTGCAAGAAAGCAAATGATTGCATTTCCTAAAATGTCAAAGTATTCCTCTAAATTGGCTGCCTGTGTGTGTGTGTTCCCACCTGGTCGCTGAGTGTACATTGTTCGGTGCAGATGTCAGTGATCAGGTTTCTGGCCTGTTTGGCCATTTCATCCAGAAACATGTTGCACAACGACAGGCTTCGATCCCCGATGTGGTGCCGCTGTGGAGGAGGAAAGAAACGTCTTTATTGTTAAATATCAACGTAACATTATTTCACAGTAACGGCTCTGTTTCTGATTTGTAATTGAATCAATAACCAAACAAAGAGAAAACATGCCATCAAAAACCATACAATCAAAGGATAAGGTCAGATAATTAAGATATGTTAGAAGTTCAACAATTCAAATGATAAAACCCTTAAAACATGTAGTTAATTGTAGTAAAGAAAGTGCTTTATTGGGCATCACCGCCGCATTTGTGTGTATTGTAGGAAAAATAGACGAAGCGTAAATAAAGACATTTAAATAAAGATTTAAAAAGGGAGCGTATCCGTTATGCGAGACCTGCAAGTGAAAAATAGCGTCTGACTTGCTTGCGGTCTAGACGGAGGGTTAGAGAGCGTATCTATACGTGCGTGTGTGTGTGTGTGTGTGTGTGTGCTTACCTCCTCAGGGCAGAGCTCATGTGTACAGGACATGAAGTGTGTGCAGAGCAGAGGGAAGCAGATGGAGTGTCGGCTCTGGGAGGGAAGCTCCAAACACTGCTGGAACATCTTTTCAAACGCACGGCTGTAGAAGCTACTACCACAGACACAAACACACAGGAGAAGATTAAATACGGGACTAACACATACTTTATAAACATCAAATGCATACCAAGGGTGTGCATCTCACCAGAAGATGGACAGGTCCGACGTCTCCACCAGCATCTCCACCAGAGAGTCCACCATCTTTGTGTGGAAGATGATGGTGTTCATCATTTTGCCGAGCTCCTTGTGATCGGCGATACCAAGACTGGCTTTAGAGACGCTGGTGTAGGCCTACAGAGGGGAGAAGTATTCTAAATATTAGAGATGTTTTTGGTACTTTTGTTGTGCCGTTCTTTCCATTTACACTCCATTCCACACAGTAGCAATATTTAAAAACATTGAGTGAAACATGCAGACTGTGTTCAGTAGTCCTAAACATTCCCCTAGTATTAGATAAAGAACTAAAGCTTTAGATTTGTTTGCACACCTGCAGTCTGAACCAGTCCAGCCTTAGTCCTCTGAAGTCAAACACCTCTCCATCCTCCACTAGAGCACAACAGACAAGATTACACTTTATCAGTCTCAAAGGAAACTCTTGACAGAGATTGATTAAAATTTCACACATTTATAGCCTAGTACCTGTAGTGCAAGCACTTGCTAAATTACTTTAACTACCAGCTTTACTACTATCAATACTTCCACTTCTACAATGACGCTACTTCTCCTCTTTTTTTTCCAGCTTAGAAGAAGTAATAGTTCACCTTGTTTGACACTGAGAGAAGTCATAGTGTTGACAAATGAAGACATGATTATAGACTCGTCCTCTGGACACACAGACAGGTTCTATCAGAGAAAGACAGAAAACCGGTTAGAAAGACAAGTGCAGCGTGGAAAAACCTTCTAAAAGACATTCTTAACTGAGGCCCAAAATGTTACGTTGTATCTGCATGCAAAGGGCAAAAGAGGCGGCAACCTCCGGTTCTGCAGAGTGAAGCCAATGCGGAAGTGTCTTAAAGCTGCATTCTCTCTAGTGACCAGCAGGGGGCGACTCCTCTGGTTGTATAGAAGTCTATGAGAAAATGACTCTACTTCTCTCTTGATTTATTACCTCAGTAAACATTGTAAACATGAGTTTATGGTCTCAATCTCTAGTTTCAAGTCTTCTTCAATACAGCATGATGTTCATTTCGTAAATTATGGTCCATTTAGAGACAAACAGACCATAAAGCAGAGTATGCTTTAGGGCAGGGCTACTGTGATTGACAGGTCGCTCCCCTAAAGAGCAGGATACGGCGTCTCTACGTCATTCCAAATACGGTAACTTCCATTTATCGGTTGCAAAAAATTCAACATGGTGGCCACTGGAGTTGTATTGTGGAAACCCTGCACCCTGTCCTGCCTCTAGATTTTGTCTAAGAGTACACTTCATGTGTGCATTGAGAGCGTGCACACGTTCATACCTGCACCAGTTCATTCAGCACCACGGCATCAAAGCCGGACAGGTACTGGACGTAGTATCGCTGCATCACCGGGCCGTACTTCCTGACATGAGCTCTGAGCTCCTCCATGTAGAAGATCAGCTCTGCTATGTGTCTGTAACAACACACACACATCAACAGATTTAAGTTAAGGATGTTATGGTTGTGTGTAAGGTGTGAACAGGTGTGTGTGTGTGTGTGTGTGTGCGTGTGCGTGTCTGCGTACTTGTCTATGAAGTCATCTGTGCTTTTCTTCTGGATGTTGTCTGCGTGTCGAAGCAGCCAGATGATCTCGTCACGTGCAAACGACAGCGCCATGAACACGAACAACGCCTAGCGGGAACGAAGGAGGAGGAAATGGAGATAAATATGGAGGGAAAGTTGAGAGATATTAAGATTTTTTTTTAAGGGAAATGGAAATGTCAGATAAATAATTCTAAGATAAATTACCAAGAGCAGTTGGTAGCGAGCACTTTCTCACAGTCTCTGAACCAAACATGCAATATGTTCATCTAATATATTCTGTTTTACATTTATGAGGGTCTCCATCTGCCAGAGGAACATACAGGGTTCTTTTAAGGTGGTAAAATCTGTCTATCCAGGTCATTTAGTAGCGTTCATCTACTACTAAAACTGAATCTAGGGATATTTAAAGGTAGTATTTTGCTGTTTAAGGTGGTATTTTGTGTTACCTTAGGACCTAGTAGTCCAGGTTGATCGGCTAAAACAGTGGCCAACTCCTTCAGAGCCGATCGGAGGAACTTGCGTCTCTCTCTGTGCATCGAGCCTCTGCAGAGACACAGAGCAGACAGAGGAAGTCAGAGCACAGTCGTCATGATTAAATGGTATTTTGACACTTTCAGGACAATCCTGCAAGAGGACAAAAGTATGTAGATGACAGCGATGGCACAAGAACGAGGATGAGGATGAAAGGGGGAATACGTAATGAGGATGAAAGCAGAGATGAGACAAAGAAGGGAGGATAAAAAAACTCAATAAGGGATGAAGAGAGGAAGAAGGGGAAGCTTCTGTGTGAGACTCCCAGAGAGAGAGAAAGAGAGAGACAGAGAGAGAGAGACTAAAGCAGAGCTGAAATGATGGTTAAATCAATAAAACAGAGAATCTGGGAAGTGAAATAAATCCTAAAATGTGAAATATGTTTTGTGTTTGTGAGGAACAAAAAGCAAAGGTTGGATGAAAACCCCAGTTGGGATGCGAAGAAGAAGAGATTAGTAGAAACACGATGTACGTACGCATGAGACAGGGCCTGTTCTTTGCACTCTCTGATGTCATTGATGCGTTTGTTGTACCTGGAAAAAAACACAAGCAGAGAGGATGTGTTGAAAGAGTTAAAAGAGCAACGATTCACAGAGTGTTAGTATAATACTGTAAACACGTCGGTGATGTGATTTTCTGCCATTTGAGATTATGGTCTCATGTCAGGCGATCGGAAAACAACTTCAAATTCCTTGTTTTGTCGACCCGACAGTCCAAAAATCAAAACATATTCAACTGACAAATGTATGAAACTAATAAAGAAACTAAGTATCTTCAAATGCTTCATATCCCTAAAATCTGTACAACCTCAGCTATAAAGTTATGTAACTCACAGTAAATAAACCATTAATATCAATACATATTATAAAGTATTGAAATACATTTTTTATGTAGTGCAAAAGGCATGAATGCTCCAACTATCATTTATTGATTTTAGATGTATTTAAACTTTAAATCTTTTAAAAACGGTTGTGTGTCCACACGCACACAGACGCTCTTACCCTCTGATGTTCACGAACAGGTCCTCTGCAGCCTTGTGGACGTGGAACACCTCGTCCCTGAACAGACAGAGGCAGGTGGAGCTCTGCAGAGCCAGCTTCCACAAAGACAACGCCGCAGCGTCGCTGTTCAGCACCGCATGACACAGGATGAAGCCAACTGGAGGGAGAACACAGACGGGAATATGTGACGATCCAGAAGCCAAAACAAAAAACAAGTTATGGGGATGGAACAGGAAACCGTTTCACTTACAAACAATCCACTTCTCCATGGCGTCCAGTGACAGGTATTCACACGGCATCTAAAGACGAGAGAGTGTGGAGCACATACAGGTGAATGGACTGAAGGCTCAGACTCAAGCTCTATGTTTTAATTCTTCATTACTAAATATTGTTTTAACTATTCCCCTTGGAATAGTTGGAAGTTTAGCCTTTTTGGTGCAGCGGTCGTGATGCTAACCGTGTCCGACTGTGCAGGGTTGAGCATGGTGGAGGGGGCAGAGATGAGAGAGAGCAGCTGGGCGTTCCTCCACTGGTCAGCGGACAGATTCCTCCTGGGATACACCATCTGGAGGCTGATCAGTGCATCAGACAGGGACTGGAGGAGAGACGGGACGAAGAGGGTGAGAGGGGATAAAGAGGGAGAGGCGGGAAGAAGAGGGAGAGAGGGGAGGAAGAGGGAGAGACGGGAGGAAGAGGGAGAGACGGGAGGAAGAGGGAGAGACATGAGGGAACGAAGAAGAAAAAGTGTACAGTGAGCTTTCTTGCACCTCAGTTAATCAACAAGTATTGCATCAGTCTTTCACCACAATACTGCATTTTTGAATTAAGTCGATACTTCAGCTGCAGGAACTTGTTTCACTCCGGCTGATCTAAATGTGGCACTAGAGGAGCTGTGGAAACTGTGCCATTGTAAAAACAAGATGAAGTCTGTCACACTGTAAACGTTTAACGATTACCTGGCAGTTTAATAAGAGAGTCAGGTTCTCTTTACCTTTCCATGAGGAACAAACTCCTCCATCAACTTCTTCAAAGGGTTCTCGTAATCCACGATCATCTGGCCCAGCCGTGGGTACTCCCGGTCACTACGACACACACACACACACACACACACACACACACACACACGGTTAGCATAGAGACCATGAACATTAACGAGTCTGTATTAAAGTGCGTTTTCTTTGCATCACCTGGCGCCGTGCGTCATCTCGTGGGCGTAGTTGTACAGTCCGATGATGGCTTTCCTCTCCTCTATGCGAGACAGTATCGTCATCAGAGTCGTGTACGTCACCACCAGGTCCAGGTAGTTCTTGGTCAGGTCAAAGTTCACCGTCTGACAGGGAACGACGACACAAAAGGGGCATTTTTCTTAATAACAATCATCTGTTCAGCTGAGACAATAACACTGGGAGCAACAGTTTGATAAGCTTTGGGTACATGTAGCCAACATAAATAGGAAGAGAATGAGAAACCTTTATTTACTTACAATGTCAAAGAAGACCTGGCAGGCGTCGATGGTGTTCAGCAGCTCACACACGTGGTCCTGTTGATGAAGGAGTGAGTTTAAGTATCGTTAGAATCACTAACACCAGATGACCCTCCACAGTAACCTGCTGACCGTGTGTTTTGTTTCTTACCTTGAATTCCATGACATCTACGAAGGTAAAGTAGTAGAGCGCCAGGTTCTTCAGAATCTCTGACTTTTCCTTCTGCAGCTGAGCCAGCTGTTGCTGTAAACACGTTACATAAAATGTTATATACATATATAAACCTATCCGTTATCATTTACTGCATCTCTCTGTATGACTTCTTGTATTTTATGTACCTTTAAAGTTGTTGTAGATGTTCCAATTATTAACTAAAAAATCAACAATATGAGTTGTGTATCACATTTACCAACTAAAAGCTTTTATTCCTCCTAAAAATACCGACCGAGTTTAACTCAATTCTGTTAATTGTTTTTCTCCACATTTCACTTTTTTTAAGTGTTAATATCTGCATTTATTACTTTGTTCTAACCTCCCTCTTTCTAATACATCTAATTACCGAGTTTCCCTTCGGGGATCAATACAGTTTATCGAATCTTGTTCAAATTAATTACAGTTTCTCTTCATTTTGACTAAATTTAACAGCAAACTGACATAAATTAGTAACAGCTGCTGAATAATTTAGTGACATTGGAGCTAAAACTCCAGCTTTTATTTCATGAATCAAACAGAGAGACACAGATAAATAGATACAAAGAGAGATTATAAATGTGCGTGAAGTCATTTTACTTTGGTCGAACATTTCCTTCACTTGAATACAGGAGACATACTCCTAAATACGCTCTGTGTTGGACCAAAGTAAAATGTGTCTATCAAAGCAAAGCCAGACGATCCACCCTTGAATGCGTTTTAAAGACAGAAGAGAAACAGGAAGTCAGTTATCGAAAGCACCAAAACACAAAACCTTCTTCTGAGCTTCTGGATGTCGTCTGTGGACACAATGACCATGAACTCAGCATTTAAAAGATTCTCACGTCAATCTTTTAACAAGCTGGAATGTAAACTCAAGTGTAAAAAGCAGTAAGTTTAGCGAGTGTTTTCTATTTACATGACAGAACGTACACTGAAGAGAGTGCATCACTGCGGCTGCACCAAGGAGGTATAAACACTGTAACTCGACCCAAAGTCAAGTAAAGACAACTTTATAAAGGTATTATTCTTAAATCTTAAAAATAATAATTAACTGGGAAACACAGCAAACTGACAGACACAATAAATCAGTGCTCTGTAACACTCCTTAGTGCAGCCAGTCGGTCCTCAAGCCCTCTAACCAACTAACAGCTAACCAGGCAGTTAACCAGGCAGTTAACCAGGCAGTTAACCAGGCAGTTAACCAGGTAATTAACCAGAGAGTTAACCAGGTAGTTAACCAGGTAGTTAACCAGGTAGTTAACCAGAGAATTAACCAGAGAATTAACCAGAGAATTAACCAGGCAGTTAAACTGAGAATTAACCAGGTGGTTAACCAGAGAGTTAACCAGAGAGTTAACCAGAGAGTTAACCAGGTGGTTAACCAGCCGCACAGTCACTCAGTGGATGAAGGATGGAAAGTCAAAGCACTGCCAGCAGAGAGGAGGGAAAGTAGAGCAACGCAAACAACAAACAATCCAAAATAGCTTTAAAAACAGGTACAAAAAAAAAACTTAAGTACGTGAACTAAAATACAAACATTACAGAAACTTAGATACAAAAACTTACCAAAAAGCACAAGTCCGGATTAAGCCAAGTTTAGCATGCAAAACACAAACAAACACAGAAACAAAGCAGAAAACAACGTAAGAAACAATATTTGCACAGTTATACTGAATAAAGCAGTTAGCTACAAACACACTCTCACACACACACAGCTGTTTGCTAAATGACAGTTTGACATAAACACATAGAGGCCAGAAGCTAAGAGCTAAGCTAACAAGTAAAGCTGAAAGAAACATTTGATGAGCAATGACTCGGTTAAGTTAACGCAACACACCTGAACACACACACACACACACACACACACACACACACACACACACACACACACACACACACACACACACACACACACACACACACACACACACAC